TGGCGAATTAATAACATAACTCAGATTTCAATTGATCCTTCTTGCCCTATTTGTTATCCTGAAAATATCATCCCTGATACACATAGATTCTTAAATTTTTGGGATTGGCTTTCATCTGAATATCCCGTTATTAGTTATACTTCCAATACAAAACACCAATTAAATCATCTTATTTCCTGTACATTACCTGAAGCTATCTTAGGACGAATTGAGCTCTTAGTTTTAAGTATTAGATATAATAGTAATCTATGACCATATATTACATTTCGACAGGATATTTACAACGCCTTAGTAATAACCAACGGATTTCAATTAGATCCCTTTAAAGAGCTTTATCAAATAAATGAAACAAATACTGCGCAATACTCTACTTCACATAATTCAACACCACTTACTTTAACCCGACCAAATACTCCTGATTCGTCTGACGGTGAAGATTATAATTTAGACCAACTATTTAATATAAATATCAACAACATAAACATGGCAGCTAATCAAGCGGACATCCAAAATCTTACAACAGCATTACAAGTCTTACAAGGAATTTTACAACCTGCAGGACCAGCAAACGCTAACAATGGATTAGCTAATTTAAATGCACAGTTGCAGGCTAATATAAATGCAATTACCGCAAATCCACTGTGTAGAGAAACAAGGGTAGTTGACTTACCATACTTTTATGGCGGAAATCAAGATCCTGTAGGATGGCTCGAAGGATTCACTTGAGCATGTAATGCAAATGGTATCAATGATGGCAGAAAACTTGAAGTTGTACCAGCATATCTCAAAAATGCAGCATCCACTTGATGGACTACCAATCAGGCCCTTGCTAATGGAGACCCTAACAGAATTATAACGTGGACTGGAAACAATAACAACACTGACTTTACAACTAATTTTCCTAATGCTTTCAGGTCACAAACGCTTGTAGAAATCTGGACAACTGAATTGGAGAAACAACATCAGCAATCTGAAGAGAATGTTGATGACTACGCTTTTGTCTTACTTGAATTATACAGGAGAGTAGAGACTTCAGCATTCCAATATCCTGATATGATGAAGGCTAGACATCTTGTAAATGGATTAGTCCCTGAATTGCATCTGCTTGTAAAACCTTTCAATGATCAGACATGGAACGCTGTTTTCAATCGTGCTAAGCAATATGAACTTGCTTATAAGGACACAGCCTCAGTATAAGCTTACATGAACAAGTACACTCCAACGGCATCAAATGCTAATGCACAAATAGGCGTCCTAAATAAAGCTATAGCAAGTCTTACACAACAAATCCAATAGATGAATTTAGAAGGACAAAGAAATAATTCAGGATATCAACAAAATAATAATCAACCATTTCAGCAGTTCAACGCTCCAAATGTAAATCAAGCAAACTAACCTTGAAGACAGAATAACCAAAGAGGAACCGGTATAGTTTGTTTCGACTGTAACCAACCAGGTCATATCAGAAGGAATTGTCCTTTAAGAATCCTTAATAATAATAACAATAATAACACCTTTAATAATGTACTTCCAACAAATCCAGTACAAAATAATGTCGTAGCTCCAGTTGCTAATCCAGTTAATCCTATTAATAATACACCGAACAATTTGAATGCAAATAATAATGTTCAAACTTTACAGTTATTGGCATAACTACTTGGTCAAACTGCTGAAGGTGATCAAACTCAGCATTTAAACTAAATGGTGTACCTCCTGAGGGTAAAGGTACGAAA